GAACTTTATTAAAAACTTGAACTTTATGATCTTGCCAAGATCTTCATGTCAAATCATCAAGAAACTGAATTAACGCGGAACATACCTTAATCAATTGATTTCTGACTTGAACAATGAATCTTGAATCTNTCAAACCTCCTTGATTCTTGATTGTGGGTTATGGATTTTCCTCTTCATATGCTTTCTCTTGTATTCTTGTGTTGATGGGATGACACAAAGAATGAGAAAATCACACATGAATTGAGGACCCTTTATAAATTTTCATATGTATTCGGTCCATCGTCAAATACAAACCCTAATGGATCTGATCTCTGCACATATAGTCCGGCCCACACTTTATTAGATGCTCAAAACCCAATTACTTAATTTCTTATTAGGTCACTTTAATTTTGGGCTTAACTTTAAGATAGCATTTATACACAATTAATTACATATGTCGACCCACATAGCAAATTAAATAATTTCCCAACATTCTACCCTTGTACATTTGGCTTAATTCAATAGAAATAGAGGTTCCGTATCCCACTCACTTTCCTTACTTCCCACATCTATATGTTCGTGAAAACATTCAACAACACTGTAGGAGCACCTACCTACTTATTCATTCACGCGCGACCAACTTTCGAAATTAACGAGTTTGTGGGATAATTACCTCTAAATCTTCCCAAGCCACACACAGGTAGAACTCGATAAAAAGTTATTGAATATCCATGGAGTTTGTCATCCTTGTTTTGATTTTCTTCTTGCAATCGAATCTATGTTTCTGTGCAAAGCAGTCAGCAGTGTTTCTGCCACTCAAAACAGAGCAAATTTCATCTCTACCAAACAAGCTATTTTTCCACCATAATGTTACTCTCACGGTCTCACTCACTGTTGGCTCGCCCCCACTATTAAAATATGAAGCATAATTGAAGGATGAACTCCCTGATGATCAGCAAGGAGAAGACGGTTTGCTAAAGGATCATGGAATGGGGTAGAAACGTCCATTGAAGAAGATGCACATGGCTGCCAATTTTTTTCTGTTATGCCTTGCTGTATTTTGTTGCTAGATATTTATTCTTCCTGCCAAATTTGTTATCTTGTAATAGTTCTAGATCCTTCCTATCTGCTGTATGTATCCTGATGTATAGGTGAACGTTTATAATTAATGAATTAATTCATTTTCAATACAATTTCAACTGGTTTTATTCTGCACAATCAATGAGCATATTTCAAACATTTTTCTCTTCATTTCTTATATGGTATCAGAGCCATAAACTATGGCTGATAATCAAAGTGCCACTGCTGAAACAACAAACCAGAATGCCATCCAATGACAAACATTCAACTTAATGATCCTACTTCATTGGTGGAAACGACAACTCAGGAGCCATACTTGTTACCCATGTACTTGACAATACCAATTATTATGCTCGGGCAACATCTATTAAAAGAGCACTTCGAATCAAAAATAAAATTGGCTTCATTGATGGAAGCCGCTCTAAACCAGGAAAGTCCAACATTTTTCTGATGGAACATTGGCTAAGGTGCAATGACATTGTATTCGCCTGGTTGCAAAACACTATGTCTATTGACATTAAGCCTCGAACACTCTATCCTGACCCAGCCCGTGAACTCTGGTTGGATCTGGAACATCAATTAGGACAGCAAAATGCTATAGTGGAGAGAAAACATCAACATGTCCTTAATGTTGCAAGAGCCTTGAAAATTCAGAGCTCCATTCCTATGAAATACTGGAATGACTGTGTCCTCACAGCAATCTATCTGATAAATAGGACCCCTTCACCCTTACTCCAAAACAAAACTCCTTTTGAGCTTTTATTTAAACACAAGCCAAACTACTTGCATCTTATAACTTTTGGATGCCTTGCTTTTGCCACAACACTTGCAAATCATAGAACTAAGTTCGAACCAAGAGCAAGGAGATGCATATTTTTGGGATATCCTTTTGGAATAAAAGGATACAAACTCCTTGACCTTGAATCCAAAAAGATCTTCATCTCCAGGAATGTTATGTTCTATGAGGACCAATTTCCCTGTAAGGACTGTAGTGCATCTGAGAATAATGACATCAAGTCATCACAACCTACTTAAAATGTTTATGAAATAGAAAACCATATTTATCCTTCCCTTGTTGAGGTCACAAATGAAATAATAAAGGATAAGGCCATCCATTCTTCTCCTGTCATTGATGAATTGGAAATTAGTAGAGTTTATCATGAAGATAGTAATTCCATCCATGAATCAAACAATCATCCTACAGTCATTTCTGCCATTTAACTCCCAAGAACCTCAACAAGAATCCCCTAATAACACTATTAATGATCATCATCCAATACGAAAATCATCAAGAGTTAAGAAGACACCTACTTATCTTAAGGAGTATATCTGTCAGCAAGCTTCATTTCACCAATCACAGGAGTTGACAATGGACAAAGGCCTTCACATTCCAGGTAAGTTTTTCCCTCTAAGTGCCACTATATCAAACCAAAACTTATCAGACAAACATAAAGCTTTCATAACCTCCATAACCACACATACTGAACCTAGCACATACCAAGAAGCACTAGCATCGAGACTGACTGGTGTAGAGCCATGAATAATGAAATTGCTGCCTTAGAGATGAACGACACTTGGGTTGTTGCAGATCTTTCTCCTAACAAGAGAACCATTGGCTGCAAATGGGTATTCAAACAAATGAAATAATAAAGGATAAGGCCATCCATTTTTCTCCTATCACTGATGAATTGGAAATTAGTAGAGTTTATCATGAAGATAGTAATTCCATCCATGAATCAAACAATCATCCTACAAAGTCATTTCTGCCATTTAACTCCCAAGAATCTCAACAAGAATCCCCTAATAACACTATTAATGATCATCATCCAACACGAAGATCCTCAAGAGTCAAGAAGACACCTACTTATCTTAAGGAGTATATCTATCAGCAAGCTTCATTTTACCCTTTACAGGAGTTGGCAAGGGACAAAGGCCTTCACATTCCAGGTAAGTTTTTCCCTCTAAGTGCCACTATATCAAACCAAACATTATCAGACAAACACAAAGCTTTCATAACCTCCATAACCACACATACTGAATCTAGAACATACCAAGAAGCACTAGCATCGACTGACTGGTGTAGAGCCATGAATAATGAAATTGCTGCCTTAGAGATGAATGACAGTTGGGTTGTTACAAATCTTCCTCCTAACAAGATTACCGTTGGCTGCAAATGGGTATTCAAAATAAAATATAAGGCTGATGGGAGTGTTGAAAGTTACAAAGCTAGGCTCGTGGCAAAAGGCTATATACAACAAAAAGGCTTGGACTACCATCAAACCTTTTCACCTATGGCGAAGATGGTGACTGTCAGGAGTTTACTTGTCGTTGCAGCCATAAAAGGGTAGCATTTACACCAATTTGATGTAAATAATGCGTTTTCACATGGAGATCTAGACTATGAAGTGTACATGGATATGCCTCCTAACCATCCGGATGCAGGAAAATCAAAAGTGTGTAAGCTGTTGAAAAGTATATAAGGGCTTAAACAGGCATCTAGACAATGGTATTCCAAACTTTCAGCCTTCATTGTTGAGTAAGATTTCATTCAGTCAAGGGCAGATTACAGTCTATTTACAAGAACAAATGAGAACTCATTCACAGCCATTCTTGTCTATGTTGATGATATAATTATAGCCAGCAATGATATGGCCAGCATCAACTGACTCAAATGACTGCTTGATAACAGATTCAAGATCAAAGACCTGGGGACATTGAAGTATTTTTTGAGAATTGAAGTAGCAAGGTCTGATAAAGGGATTCACATCAATCAAAGGAAGTATGCCCTGGATATTCTATCAGATTAAGGATCAATAGGGTGCGTGCCAACAAAAATTCCCTTAGATCAAAACATGAAACTATCCAAAACAGATGGAGAAAGCCTCATGGATCCTACTATTTATAGGAGACTAGTTGGGAGGTTGTTATATTTAACAATCACGAGACCAGACCTGTTATACTCAGTACAATTGCTAAGCCAATTCATGAGTGATCCTCGAACCTCACATTTGAAAGCAGCCAACAAAGTATATAAAGGGAGCTTCAAGGCAAGGATTGCTATTTCCTGTAAATTCAGAATTACAGCTCAATGCTTTCAGTGATTCAGACTGGGGAGCTTGCTCGGATACACGAAGAAGTATCACAGGATATTGTGTAATGCTTGGAAAGTCATTAATATCATGGAAATCAAAGAAACAAAGCACCGTGTCCAGGTCTTCAGCGGAAGCAGAGTACAGGGCAATGGCAAATGCTTGCTGTAAGCTTACTTGGCTAAGATGCTTATTCAAGGACTTGAGAATTGAACATCCACAGCCTGCTAACATGTTCTGTGACAACAAATCCGCCATTCACATAGCCGCGAATCTAGTTTTTCATGAGAGAACTAAACACATTGAAATGGATTGCCACTTAATATGGGACAAGATTCAGGAAGGTAATGTGGTTACTAAGCACCTTAGTAGTAATTACCAAGTCGCTGACATCTTAACAAAATCATTAAACTCATCACAATTTTATCAACACATGGACAAGATGGGAGTTGTTAATATCCACTCTCCATCTTGCGGGGGAGTATTAAAATATGAAGCATAATTAAAAGATGAACTCCCTGATGATCAGCAAGGAGAAGACAGTTTGCTAAAGGATATCATGGAAAGGGGTAGAAACGTCCATTGAAGAAGATACACATAGCTACCAATTTTTTCTATTATGCCTTGCTGTATTTTGTTGCTAGATATTTATTCTTCCTGTCAAATTTGTTATCGTTGTAATAAGTTCTAGATCCTTCCTTATGGCTGTATATATCTTGATGTATAGGTGAGCGTTTGTAATTAAAGAATTAATTCATTTTCAATACAATTTCAGCTGGTTTTATTCTGCACAATCAGTGAGCATATTACAAACATTTTTCTCTTCATTTCTTATACCAGCAGCAAGGCACCATGGTGCTTGATACTAGCAGTGAACTCTCCTGGCTACACTGCAAGAAGACTCCCACTACCCTATCAACGTTCAACCCTTTATTGTCGTCATCGTACCAAGCAATCCCATGTTCATCGCCCACATCCAGGACTCGGACTCGGGATTTCACAATACCGATTTCTTGTGACATGAAAAGCCTCTGTCATGCCACGCTATCTTACGCGGACAGTTCCTCTGTTGAAGGTAATTTAGCCTCGGAAACGTTTCATATTAATAATTTAGCTCTGCCAGGGACGGTGTTTGGGTGCATGGACACAGGCTTCAGCTCCAACATAAACGAACTACTGGAATAATTGGCACGACCCAGGGGTCTTTATCGTTTGTTTCGCAATGGGATTCCCCAAATTTTCCTATTGTATTTTAGGTCGTTATTTGTCGGGCATTTTGCTCTTTGGAAAAGCTCATTTTCCTTGGCTAAAACCATTGAACTACACACCACTGGTTCAAATATCAAACCCTTTACCATATTTCAACAGAGTTGCATACATAGTTGAGCTAGAAGGAATATCAGTATCTAGTAAAATTCTTCCATTGCCGAAATCCACGTTCGAGCCCGACCACACCGAGCCGGTCAGACGATGGCCGACTCTGGTACACAGTTCACATTCTTGCTCGGCCCTGCTTATACTGCATTGAAAAATGAATTTTTGAAGCAAACAAGAGGTGTTTTAAGGCAATTAGAAGATCCAAATTTCGTGTTTCAAGGGGCTATGGATTTGTGTTATAGAATTAAGCAGAGCAGAAGAGTTTTACCTCCATTGCCAAGTGTGAATTTGATGTTTCGAGGAGTGGAAATTAGGTCATGTTTGGTTCACATTATTTTTTTTATTTTCATTCTTCCACTCATTTTCAACCACACATTTTTTAATAAAATAATATTTTCCATCACATCAATAATTTTTTCTTTTTTTTCAACTACATATTCCTCATCACATCAATAATAAAAATACATTATTACCTTCAAAATGTGCACCAAATGGGAGCTTAGTGTAATTGGGAAGAAATTATTGTACAAAGTTGGAGGTACAATCAGGGATAGTGATTCAATATATTGTTTTACATTTGGGAACTCAGATTTGTTTGGTGTGGAGGCCTATATTATTGGGCATTATCACCAGGAAAATATGTGGATGGAATTTGATATTGCAAATTCAAGAATGGGATTGGCTGAGTTTAGGTGTGAATTAGCAAATCAAAGATTAGGACCCTAATCTTACTGTCCTTTCTGCCCTCAGTAATTGATGCGTGTTGCAATTTCATTATATCTTTCGTTTTAGTACTACTTAAATTCCCATTGGACAATTTTACACTTCTTTTTAGTAAAAACAGTACTCCCTACCTCCCATTTATATATACTTGTTTTGTTTTTTACACTGTTTAAAAAATCGTATTTAATGTTATTGAAAAAATATTTTTTACAAAAAACTTTCATAGTTTACCCTCATTTAATTATCAATAACATGTAGTAAATTATCATTGAAAGTATTTAATGTTATTGAAAAAATATTTTTTACAAAAAACTTTCATAGTTTACCCTCATTTAATTATCAATAACATGTAGTAAATTATCATTGAAAGTAGTAAAGAAATAAATGTATATTAATAAACGAACAAAACAAAAAAAATTTAATATATAAAAAAAAAAGACTATATAATTGGAATAAGAAAAGTCGGCCTATATAAATGGAATGGAATGAGTATTTAACTTCCTTTTAAATAAACAAGAAATTAAAAAGAAAAAGAAGAAATCCGTAGGGAATTAACGAGGGTGGAATAAAATTGTCTTTTTTTTTTTTAATAATATTTTAGCATGTTAACTAAAGGTAAGGGTGAGCAATTTTTTTTCTTTAAAGGGGAGAATGGAGAGGAAGGTACTAACTATTGAACCATTATGAAAAATAATAATAAAATTAGGTTCATTGTACATTTAGGGTAGTGTTTGATTACACTTTTTTTCCATAGAATTTGGAATTTAAATTCCATGCAAAACAAGTGTTGGATTGGACAAATTTGGCCAAGAAAAGAATTTCCCGCCCCCCCCACGCACCTTTTTCCTTAAAAATGTTGTCATCTCTATTTTTTTATTTTTTTTTGCAATAGAAACAAATTTTATAAATAATTGTAAAAAAAAAAAAAAAATCACTTTAATGGACAATTTACAAGTAAAACAAAGTCAAATGAACACAAAATTTTGATTAAAAAATGATTTTTTAGGAAAAAAATTTGTTTTTTGTTTTTTTTTTTACTCTTTAGAAATGGAAACAAATTTTATACCTGATTGTGGAAAAAATTATCGGTTTAACGGATAATTTTCATGTAAAATAAAGTCAAACGAACACAAAATTTAAAAATTTTCTGGATGAAAAATTATACCAATCAAACACTTAATTAACAATTCCCTACAAAATAATTTCTGAACAATTACTTTCCCTAGAATTTATTTTCTTTCCACCCATTTTCACCCTTACAATAAAATGGACCCTTAGCAAAAACTCAATTTGATCGCTCAACTTTAACGTAGTGCAAGTTGAGTTATGTGATTAAGACAAGTTAATGTTGAGTGACACAATTGAGGTTTTACTGAAAGTACACAGACAAAAAATAAAATTAACCTTTGTTCTGATGCTAAGTCGCTATGTTTTACGCTAGTTCAGATATGTTGTCGCATACTTGTCGTCCCCTGATACATTTTTTATTCATCTGCTCGTCTTTTTTTAATTTTATTTTATATCAAGGTGTAATATTTTGAAGTATCAAAAAATATGTTTGTGTTTGTTATAAAAATGTGGTGTGTGAGATATAAAAATAATAGCAACAGAAACAACAAGTAATTATAGCGCCTAAAAAATAGTATTGTGCAGCATGCAGGGGTGAATAGCAGTATGAAATTGAGAATTGCGAAAAACTTTTTTGTTTTCTTGTGATTGCTATTATCATACGAAATTGTCAGTCAACTTGTTGGGATAAATAGCAATGTTTGTTGGATTTATACTAACAATTATATTTTTTTCGTTTAAAAAAGGAAATATATCATATTTAATTGGATGATAAACAAAATGCAATGAACCCACGTATTTTCATAGTTAATTTGGTTTTTTTTTTAATTCATTATATAAAATTAGACAGCTGAACAAAATATACCCTTATTCTTTTCAAAAATCTAGTTTTTCCATTTATTTTTCACCATACATTCTTTTAATAAAATAATTTTGTACATAAATCTATTTTTTTTTTCTACTTTTTAGTCACACATTCTCCAAAAGAAAAAAAAATACTCAAATTTTGAATTACAAATATAGAATAAGAAGAGTTTAATAATGTAAGTGAAACACTGCTAAAAGACATTTGGTAATATATGAGATAGATCTTTGATAATTATTACGATAAAATGTCGTGAATATTTTTATCACTAATTAAAATTTGATTAACTTAAAGATATTTGGAATTATGGATTGATATGATTAACATTAGTTGACAGTGATGATAGAGATTGGGGATTAAATTTTTCGACAAGCTCTACTACATATTAGCAAAGGAATGTAATTTTATTATATTTATAAAAGATTACCTAAAGAAAAAGCCCTTTCATTTGTCCCCACTTTCTCTTTCTATTGATTCTTATCTCCAAATCAAAACACATCCTCATATGTGGTTGACAGTGATGATAGTATAGGGGCCGCACTATTCCAAGGGTGGTGTGGATAGATGACGGTGTCGTGGTCTTACCAGAGTTTGGATGGCAGATACGGGGTTTCATACGAGAGTAGGAGTGCAAAAGTTGGTGGTGGTTGGATTTGTGAGATGATATGGTATAGATGATAGTGATGGTCGGAAGATGATGACGAATTTAATTACAAATCCATAGTTTTTGATGGAAGTGGTAGTGGTCATTGTGGTGGTGGTGGTGTATGGATTAATTAATTAATTACCGTTTTAAAAATTTACACTAATATAAGTTACAATATCAAATAAACCTTGTTTGGAAATTGGACCCCATTAAAATTATAATTCATTTTTCACTCTCTTCTTATCATCCACACATTACTCAATAAAATAATATTATGTGTAAACTCAAAACATTTTTTTTTATTTTTTAACCACACATTTAAAAAAAAAACAATATTCCAAAAATTATAATATCAAAAATTATATTCACTGTAATATGATTTAATGTAAATCAACATAGATTATAAATTACAATTATTGTTTGAGATCCATTTTGTGAAAATGAGTTTTTTTTTTTTTTTTTTAAT